AAGCATGGAGGGCTCCCGCTATGGACTGAGACTGGTCAGTAATAACATGAACCCTCTGAAGATGGGCCTCACAAGGCTACCAGCTTTGAAAATCATTTGCGAAAACTGGATTCACAAGGCAGCTGCAGTTAGGATAAAGTTCGTCTTTAACCAAGTCAAAATCTGCCCACTGTTTAATTTATAGTTATCTTATATATGACTCCAGAACCAACATAATCAGTGTGGTCCCCTGTGGGACCAGTGCTGAGATACCCAAGCAGGCATCAGGCAACCCCTGGGCAGGCTCCAGCACCCTTCACTCAACAGCTCTTTGGCAGAAACACAAGGCTCTGCTCTTACCTTTTACATGTCCCTCATGAGGTTCTTCCGTCTACTCCCACTCAGCGCTGGATCACTGGGAAATTTACAACCAAGGAAGTAAAGGGTAGCACTTAGCCTCTAGGCCAGGTTCTTGGTGATACAAACAGAAAAACTGGGAGATCTACTCTTTAAAGAAATGGTTCCACTCTGGGGTTTTTGGTGCTTATGTTGGGGGGTGGGGGGTGGCGGCTACTGGCCTGGGGGGTGCAGTGGGTGCAGTGGGAAGAAAAGGGAGCGTAAGGAAAATGAAGCTCCTGCGACTTCACATCCACACCAAGCTGCTTGGGGACCGCTGTTACAGGCTCTCTGAGCTAAGAACAAGACAGTAGAGTGTGCAGCACAGTGGTGAGGAGCACAAGATGTGGAGTCACAGAGAGCTGGGTCCCCATCCGTCCACAGCCAGCCACTAATGAGCTATGCGACAAGACCAAGTTAGTTACCTCTCTAAGCCTCGGCTTCCTTCCCTGTAAAATGGAGCGAATACAACAGACCCTTATGAGGCTGGTGCAAAGATTAAATTAGATAACATATGCAAAGTACTTATTACAGTATCCGACAGAGCAAGCCCCCAAGGCAGGGGCGAGAAAAAAGAAGGAAGCTAAAAACTACTGAGCACTTACACTCCTCTTCTCCCAGCTGAAGCTGTATAAACATCATCAAATACAACTCAACTATGAGAACACATTGTACGACGATTTGGGTAGCAGATTTTATCTTCCACACTATGTTATGTTTAGGCAAATGTCAAAAATGAGTTTCCACTTCCAGAGCAGACTAATGGTGGGGGGAGTGGAGTCAGGGCTGGCGGGCAGAAGCTCAGAAAAATACTCACCAGGGCAGGATGACAAACGTGTCACTTAACTCATTCATCTATCCAATGCCAGTCCACACACGCATGGTGAGCACTATGTACAAATCTTTTTTTTCCTTTTCAAATTTTTATTCAAATTCTAGTTAGTTAACATATAGTGTAATATTGGTTTCAGGAGTAGAATTCAGTGATTTATCACTTACATACAACACCTAGGGCTCATCACAACAAGTGCCCTCCTTAATATCCATCACCCATTTAGCCCAGCCCCCACCTCCCTCCCTCCATGAACCCTCAGTTCTCTATCACTACGAGTCTCTTATGGTTTGCTTCCCTCTCTTTTTTTCTTCCCCTTCCCATATGTTCATCTGTTTTGTTTCTTAAATTCCACATATGAGTAGAATCGTATGGTATTTAGCTTTCTCTGACTTATTTCGCTTAGCATAATACACTCTAGCTCCATCCCTGTCATTGCACATGGCAAGATTTCATTCTTTTTGACAAAACTATGTACAAATCTTATAGACTGGAGGAGTGTGGACACATGTATGCAGAAGCCTGGCAAGAGAGTGGGATGTGGCTACTAACAATGCACACTGAGTACTCGCTCTGCTCCAGGCCTGTGCAGAGCATCGCATGTGCATCATTCTATTGCCCCCTCAGAGCAACTGCAGTTTACGATTCCAGAAACCAAGGCTTAGATCAAGGTTTAGAGGCTTGCAAAAGCCAAAGAGCTTGTGAAGAGCAGAACCAGCATGTAAGCCCAAGTCCCTATGATGTCAAAGCCCATGTCTTAAGCCAGACATTTCAATGAGAAGAGGGGGAGAATTTTCCACGAAGCAGGGACAGAATGAGCAATGCCTTATTTAGGGGATCCCTAAGTACACCAATTAAGAAAGAAGGCTCTTCCATCAAAAGGAACGAGATCTTGCCATTTGCAACGACGTGGATGGAACTGGAGGGTATTATGTTGAGTGAAATAAGTCAAACAGAGAAAGACATGTATCATATGATCTCACTGATATGAGGAATTCTTAATCGCAGGAAACAAACTGAGTGTTGTTGGAGTGGGGGGTGGGGTGGGAGGGATGGGGTGACTGAGTGATAGACACTGGGGAGGGTATGTGCTCTGGTAAGCGCTGTGAATTGTGCAAGACTGTTGAATCTCAGATCTGTACCTCTGAAACAAATAATGCAATATATGTTAAGAAAAAAAGAAGAAGAAGGTAGAGGGAGGGGAAGAATGAAGCGGGGGAAATCGGAGGGGTAGACGAACCATGAGAGACGATGGACTCTGAAAAACAAACAGGGTTCTAGAGGGGAGGGGGGTGGGAGGATGGGTTAGCCTGGTGGTGGGTATTGAGGAGGGCACATTCTGCATGGAGCACTGGGTGTTATGCACAAACAATGAATCATGGAACACTTCATCTAAAACTAATGATGTAATGTATGGGGATTAACATAAGAATAAAAAAAAAAAAAAAAAAAGCTCTTAGAAATACAGGTTGGAGCTCCAAAGTTAGAGTCTACAACTGCCAGAGTTAAAGACTGTGAGATGTCAGTGGCATCTGGACTTACTTATAGATCGTGAGGCACCATCTAAGGACTTTATCAGGCAGTATTCTAAAAAATATTCATCTTGGGCACCTGGGTGGCTCAGTTGGTTAAGCGACTGCCTTCAGCTCAGGTCATGATCCCAGGGTCCTGGGATCGAGTCCCGCATCGGGCTCCCTGCTCTGCGGGGAGCCTGCTTCTCCCTCTCCCACTCCCCCTGCTTGTGTTCCCTCTCTTGCTGTGTCTCTCTCTGTCAAATAAATAAATAAAATCTTTAAAAAATAAAAAATAAAAATAAAAAAAATAAAAAATATTCATCTTTGCATACAATGAGCTAGAGTAACCATCTTAAATCAATGTAACTCTTTACATGCTGGTCATCTAGAAATGAAATCAGAGCAAGTAACGAAATACACTTCTAAGCATGAGGCAACAATCTGGTGCCACAGCAAAAAGTCAAAAAATGCTGAGGTTTCAGGGTTGACCAGCACCTCCTGGGATGATGAGAAATTAGGCATCAGCTAATTCCTGGAAGGTAACAGCATGCCTAGTTTTCAAAGAATTTAAAGTGAGAGTAGGACACTCACAGGGAAATGAATACTAAAAATTAAACTTTTTAATGTTAAAAAAGCTGTGTATTCTCACTTTATACAAAAATACATTTAGATACAAGCGACGAGATAAACCAACCATCACAATACCATCAATCTCCTTATTAATGGAAGTTCACCAATTAAAGCTACAACAGTGTAAGCTCAGACACTGTCAGTGTGCCTAAAATCTCTTCATTCCTTCTCCTGTCTTCCCTCTCTTCCCTTGGCATTTACTGACTGAGTGCCTACTACGGAGCAGGCATGTGGCTATACAGGTAGCAAGCATATGAGGTCCATAGTCTATAAAGGGAGATAGACATTAACCAACCAACCACAAAAATAAATGCCCAACTATACACAAAGAAGTGCTCGACACATACCATACCTATAAACAAGGCTCACAACAGGTGAGGGAGGACTACGGGTACTGCTAAAGCCAGGTAAGAGGCTATGTGAGCTGGGGACACTTACCTAACCATGTTGCAATGAGAACAGCATCAATTCCATCTATTGGCTCACAGATCCGAGCCACGACTGGGTGGATCTGCTGAGCCAGGTAGTACTGGGTATCAATGGTTAAATTGTCCTGTTTCTGTAGCTGCTCAGGTGCATAGGCCCTCTGACTCGCAGTGAGGTTTGACCCATCCTACAAAAGGACACGATATAGGTAAGGTTGTAGGAAATTCAGTCACACATACATGGTTGGCCAAAAAGAGGGACAATAATTCAAACTTTATATATTCAATTCCAAACACCAAGAAGTCCTTTTGACCCACTGGTGAACATTTCATATGTAAGAGTAGGAAGATCAAGGAAAACATGTCACCCACTGTCCCAGAATGTAAATCCAGGATGTGTTGTGTTCTATTTTTTGTTGAAACAGGAAACCAACAAGATGGCATGACTAGATTAAATAATTCCACCTGCCATATCATAGAAGCACACTGAGAAGACTTGCTAAACTATTAGTCTAGTCAGAAAGGCCTTTTAGGAGTGATAAGAAAAAACATGTGTGGTCCTTTTATTGTTAATACAATCCATGCAAAAACTCTAGTCATAATCTCATCTTTAAGGCCCCCAGGGCTCTATTTTCTATGAGAGCTTTATGTATCAAGAAGCAAATGAGCAAGGAGAAAAGAAAGGGGTACGAAATCCACACAGTAGTAACTTATATACAAGATATAATAGACAGGAGTAAAATTAATGAGCTATCCGGGTGGAGTAGCAATGCTCTAGAAGCAAAATATTTGGCACTGGAATGAAGGGCATGCCATTTTGCACTGTTAACATGGCTCTCCTCAAGGAAAGAAAGATGGGTCGGAGAGTATCTTTTCAAAGGTTTCCTCTTAATAAAAATAAAAATTGTGTAATTCTATGTAAGTGGTCCATATACAGCCCTGTGGGTGAGGTCACCATCATCTGTGAATCAAAAAAAGTCATCACACTACTGGACCAACATCTGACAACTCACTCCACTCCTCTTTTCTACAACAACAGAACTTAATATTCAGACTAGTCAATTTTAACTATTCACAGTGCTAAGCTGCTCTGCAAAATAGACAACATGAACCCTATTCTTTCATTCCTGCTACAATCAGCTCCTTCTCAAGTCAGCGTCCAGCACAAAGCTGAGGCTACTTGCACACCACTGTCTTCGGACTGGAGGCAGGGGCCTCTTTCTCTGGCAATGCTCTTGATGGAAACAAACTGGAATGTTTATCAACTAGGTTCTACATAGTCTAGGATATAAGGAAATACTTAGAAAGCAAACCTCGGATTAAAAGACTTGCCAAATAATTTTTTTTTTTCAGGAGTTCACAACACGGTAAAAGAAATTAGGCAGAATTCATCACCTTTAATTGTTGCCCTTTGCGAAGTCTGAATTATTAGATAAGAGTAAGATGACAGCCAATGACAAAGAGTGTGAAACATTCCTGGGCAGCATCTTTACGTGCTACAACTATACTCAGACTGACTTAATTAACTAACACCTGAAACCTGATCAATTTACAGAATTGTATTTTTTTTAAAAAAAACTGGTCTGTCCTTAAGATTACAGCAATACTGAGGGGCACCTGGGTGGCTCAGTCAGTTGAGCATTCGAATCTTGATTTCAACTCAAGTCATGATCTCAGGGTCAGGAGATCGAGCCCTGCATTGGGCTCTGCGCTAGGTGTACAGCCTACTTGAGATTCTCTCTGACCCCCCCTTAAAAAAATAAAGATTATATAGCAATGTTAAGTTTGCCACTTTTTAATGGTGAATAAAAATCAAATTTATACAGGGGTGCCTGGGTGGCTCACTCAGTTAAGCGTCTACCTTTGGCTCAAGTCATGATCTCAGGGTCCTGGGATCGAGTCCCCTGTCGGGCTCCCTGCTCAGCAGGGAATCTTCTCTCTCCCTCTGCCCCTCCCTCTAACTCGTGCTTGCTCACTCACTCTCTCTCAAATAAATAAATAAAACCTTTAAAAAAAATCAAATTTCTACAGGCAATTTTTCTTTAAAGGCATGTGAGTTACTTTCCAATATATCATTAGAAGATGTTCTCACAGTAAGTCAAATTTTTTAAAAAAGCAGTTGAAAATTTCTAAGCATATCCTCAGTTAAGAAAGTTTTTATTTTAAATAACCATATGAAGGACCAGTTTTAACACTGACCCAAACATATTTCTTACGGTATTTAAAAAATCTGAATCCAAACATGACTAAATTCAAAAGAATTGGTAAGACAGGTTTTGCTGTGTTGTGTTGGGAAAACATTCAGGCCGTGACATAAGATATATCCCTCACAGACCTAATTCTAAAACTTAGCAAGATCCCATGGTATATGCAATAACGCGTGGCATACACCTTTAAAACCAGATTAAGAAGCAATGTTGGTCTCCCCCTCCGATTTCTTCCTGCTATCTTCTTCTTTTTTTCTTTTTTTTAACATATAATATATTATTTGTTTCAGAGGTAAAGATCTGTGATTCAACAGTCGTAATGTATGGTGATTAACATAATAAAAAAAATCAAAAACAAAAAAATAAAGTTTTTAGTTGTACAGCATAGGAAAGATAGCCAATGGTATTGTCATAGCTTTGTATGGTGACAGATTATAGCTACACTTGTAGTGTGCATAGCATATCGAATAGACTTGTCAAATCACTATATTGTAAACCTGAAACTAACGTAACACTGCGTATCAACTATATTTCAATTAAAGAAATACTATTCTAAAAAAAAAAAAAAGGGAAGCAATGTTGGCCTTCCTTGAAATGTCTATGTAGTAATTCGTGAACTTCACAAAGTACATACTTCACAGAGACAACCAGGTACAGTCAATTCATTCAAAACTATGTCATCATCTTTAGTAGGAAACTAAGGGAAAAAAGTTATTTAAATGGGTGACAAGTGGGCCCCTTAAAACAATTATGTTAAAGGCATGACTTATGGAAATTATGTCTAATGAAAGTTAAATAATTGAGGATTTAAAACTTAACCAACAAGTGGAACTTGACTTAAGATCTCAGCAAATAATTCACATAGGTTTTACAAGGCGACAAACTACAATATAAATCCGACGCCAAAAACATTACTCTCTGAACTCATCTGAATTTATAGTCAGAGTAAACTATCAGTAGAGTACCACAGTCTAAATATAAATTTCAAACAAAACAGAACCTGTCTAGGAGACATACTATTCGTGGAGGGCACCTTTGCTTAGAGCAGTATAGTTCTCTTTCAAGTATATCATCATACATTTTCAAAAAGATATTCTAAAAATATGGTTTTGTTAAGAAACAGAATAATTTGAGTGCTTAAAAGCAAAAGAGGTAGGGAGCTTTGGCTCACAAACATGCTCAAAGTGGGCCTGACCCACTGCTAGGGAACAGAGGCAAATTAAAGTCCTACAGCTTTTCTTGGGATACAATGAGAAGCATAAACAAAAAGAAACATGAACTGTAGTTTTAATAAGCAAGAAAGTTAAGGCCCAGCACCAGTGGATGGGGAAAATATTGAAAATACATAAAATTTGATTTACTGTACTATATCAGCATCAGCATTTTTGAGCTTCTCTAGCTCAATAAGACCTGGGAAAAAGAAATCATAAGACCCAATATCTAGACATCAACGAACATAACCTTGACTTTTAAATCTATCGATCATACTACCATACATCTCCATTCCAGATTTAGCCAAAACATAACTGTGACTGGATTTCATTATTAGATGTTATTTCATGGAACCTATGTAATTTTTCAAAGCTATATAGCCATCTGCTCCTGTCATTAATAGTCTAAGAGCTTTTCCATGTATGTGAAGTCATAAGTGAAAAAAAACTAGCCTATTTACCAAAATCTTTATTTGCATAATATGAAAATTGTTTTTTTGAGATGAGACTTGTCAGAGGCAATATGCAAAGCACATTAAGGGCTTGAGCGAGTCAGACATTTATGGAAATATTTTCCTGCAGGAATTGGCTTTCTGTAACAGTTCTTAATCAAGGGTAACCCTAGGAGGGAGACAGAGTCAAGTGCTGATTCCTGTCCATGTACTTAAATCATTTGTTACGTACATCATCCACAGTACCGAGCAGATATTAGCAGATAATTTCTAAATTCTAAAAGACTCTATGATTTAAAAACACACTGATTGTAGTTTGACAAAGATCAATCATAATGCAATGAAATTTAAGGCTTATCTAATTTTTTTACTATAATAACAAAATGCAACAATTAATTAAAGTCTTATAACAGACAAATTATGCCTTTTGGTAAGTATACCACACCACAGTAATTTTAAAGAATTTGGAAAGAGGCTGTGACTTTTTTTCTTTTTTCCAAAAGGAAGAGATGAGACCTCTCCTTTGTTCCAACTGGAGTTAAGTGCTTTCAAAGAAAAAAACTGCTCTTGTGTCCCACCCTCTCTCCTCATCCCTGTCAGAGGCACACTACTCTCCAAAGAAACTGGTTAGTGGTTTAAACCTATGTTCCAAAAAGGGTAGAGGTTCCTCAGAGATGCCACATGGAAGAGGAAGAAGGCAAGGAGGTGGGTTCTAGGCCCCCTCCACTCAAAATACAACAAACAAACAAACTGGTGAGATCATTTGTGTTTTCCTCCTAAGGTATGTTTTTGGGGTCTCGCACCCTTCTCCATATTATCAAGCACTTCATATTCTTTTCAAGTAACTCTTTGAACATAAGCTAGGGGAAAATGTATTTACTCTCTTATTCTAAGTATTCATAATAGAATCTGTGGCAAAAGGAATGATGATGGACTGCTGCTGGACATATGACCAAACCTATATACAGTTTCACTGAAGTTAATTTAGGGTTGAAACAGCACCTACTGTTATGCACCTGTCTCACCAAAACAATTTCAGTGAACCAGGACACTGGTCTTAAATATTTTTTGAAAATTTTAATAAAATATGCCATAGCTCTAATGCTTCAAATGTTATAAAAACAACCAAACTAACCCATCTCTTCATACCATCAATTATTTGGAAGACCATTAAATAAGACACTGTGGTGATCTGAGTTTTACTTTGGGTTATGGGGTCCAGGAGTCTTATTAATAGCTTCAGTTTTACCTGACAGATGACATACGACACGGTATCTCCAGCTTTCACCTTTCTGCCCCCTTGAGAATTCATCCAGAGGGCAACATGTACATGAGGTAGGCTTTTTTTATCAGGGTAATCCTGGGGATCCTTTGTCAATGCCTAAAAGAGGAAACAAAAAGCCCCAAACTTTAAATCTCTTCTCACACAGATATACACTAAACACATCTTTCCTAGAATCCTATCTGCCACATAGACATACAAAGAAGAGAAGCTGTATGTAGAAAACAGTGCCGCAGTCTTTAGACATTCCATCCTTAAGGCTCCTCCCTCCTTCACTTACTAACTAATATAACCAGATGCAACTCTGGCAAAAAAGAAATAGAAGTTTATGGGCCATGGCACGTAATACTTGCATATAAAAAAATTAAGACTACAAATTCAGTTTTCTATCAAGCCTTTAGTTTCTCTTAATGTCTGCAATTCCCTCACTGAATTAAGTGGTTAGTAAAGACTGATGGAGATCGGCTACTCTGACTTAATGATCTGTTTCTCGAAGGCTCCTCTATCTTAAATAAATCTCAAAGATACCAGAAATCGGTGGATTTATTCACACTGTCAATTTAAGCTCTACAAAGGCAGAAAGAATGTGTTTCTAAGAGAAAGTAAGCCCCATGAGAGCAGGAACATGTCAGCCTTGCTTGCCGCTGCATTCAGTGCTCAAAACAATTCTTGGCGTACAGTAGCAACCAAATGTTTGCAAAATTATTTCGCTCACTCTGCAATAATTCACTAAGTTCAAGCACTGTAAAGTACTGTGAGATGAGTAAGACAGTCATTAGTCCTAAGTCATCTGCTATTAGTAGATGATTCCTCAATCTGCGAATAAAATCTCTAAAATAAGCCACATGTGCCATAAGGGAGATGTGAACAGTATGAGGGAGAGAGTTTAGAGAGGCAAAGATCACTTCCATCTGAGAGCAGAAATCATAGGAGAAAAAAATTTGAGCTGGCATGTGAAGAAAAAGAGGATTTTAAGAAAAGGTGACAGGAGCAAGAACATTCTGGGCAGAGATAAAAGCAAAAGTTAAAAGCAAGAGGTACCACAAAATACAGTCCATCAGAATGGAATTCAGTATGCACAAAGGGTAGGAGGGAGATATCGAGCTCTGTGGTGGGTTTCAAAAGACAAGAGGAGGGGTGTGTGGGTGGCTCAGTTGTTAAAGCATCTGCCTTCGGCTCAGGTCATGATCCCAGGGTCCTGGGATGGAGCCCCACATCGGGCTCCCTGCTCGGTGGGAAGCCTGCTTCTCCCTCTCCCACTCTCCCTGCTTGTGTTCCTTCTCTCGCTGCCTCATAAACACGAATCAGGGCAGCCACACTGAACTGTGCTACCACTTGTATTCTTCACCACCACACACTCAAGAGTCTCTCTCTCACACACACACATGCCAGTTTCATTAAAGAATGCCCTTCATGGAAGAGCAAACGTTACTAGTTTTTTTAAGCTCCTGACCCTGAACAGAAGGCTAGTATTTTATGTGACAAAATAAGAAGTACGCACAAGGCATGTCTACTGTATACTGAAGAATGAAGGTTGCTCGAGGAAAAGCACTTGTGCGACTCTTCAGAGTTGCAAGCTAAACTAGCTGCCTTGTTCATAGAACAAAATTCTTCCTTGCAAGGATGACAGGCCAGCTACTGCTATTCAAACATGGGTCTCTGGCAGACAATTTCTCAAAAAAGAATGGAGTGCGCCTGCAACTTCAAGAATAACAACCGGCAGGGGCGCCTGGGTGGCTCAGTCGGTTAAGCGGCTGCCTTCGGCTCGGGTCATGATCCCAGAGTGCTGGGATCAAGCCCCACATGGGGCTCCCTGCTCGACGGGAAGCCTGCTTCTCCCTCTCCCACTCCTCCTACCTGTGTTCCCTCTCTCCTGTCTCTCTCTCTGTCAGATAAATAAATAAAATCTTTAAAAAAAAAAAAAATAATAACAACCGGCAGTATGTCTTGCCTACGATAAAATTCAACCTCTCAAGCACAAATTAGAATTTTGGAAAACTTGTTCGCATTTATGTGAGCTTGACAGTTTCTCAATACTTGAAGACATTTCTGATGATATAGGTAGGAATATTTTAAAATATGATTTTTGATAATGAAATGCATCAATATTTGGAAGATCTGTAAAACCCAGGAGACTACCATTTCACAAATGACCAAAGCATTATAATATCATGCATCAGTAAAATATCTACTTCAAGTACAACACAGACCAACAGATTTTCATGTGAGAATATGAAAAGTTCACTGATAAGGTTTTAGATTTCCACATTACAATAATCTTTATGAAAATGCCACTTAGATAATACTGGTGTAGAATCAAAGAAGAAAATATACAAATATCCAGAGGAAGTCCTGAAATATTTCTTTTTCCAACTATGAATCTGTGTGAAAATGGATTTTCTTCCTATACTTCAACCCAAACCACACATCACGACAGACTGGACACTCAAGCAGATATGAGAAGCCAGATGTCTTCTACCAAACTAGACATTACAGAGATTTGCAAAATTTTAAAATGATGTCACTCCTCTGGCTAATTTTTCTTTGTTTTGAAATATATAGCTACTTTTCAAGGAAAAACGTTATTTTTATAATCACATACTGGGTTTATTGCTATTTTTAAATAAGTACATAAATGCTTTAAAAGTTTGTTTTAATTTCTAACAGTAAATATTAACACAGGCCACATAAACAAAAGCTCTTACAGTCCTCAATTATTTTAAGAGTGTGCAAGTGTCCTGCGACCAGGAAATGTGAGAAATGCTGGAGAATAAAGCAGGTCTTCCAACATGGCTGCACATACCCATGTCATGTCCACTTTCTAAATCATACACTCAAGTGCAGGAGAGTGCCTAGGAAATGCTCCAAGTATCTGAATCTCCTCTAACCTGCATTATGCAGAGTCTTGATTGACTTGAACGGGTAATACTGCATAGAAATCTTAATCAATAGAACTCTACTTAAAAAAACCATTATCTTCTTCAATTGACTATACTTTAGAGCAATATTAAGAAATTCTGAATTTCATGTGACATACTTTCCAGTTATTAGATTGGGGCTATTTGGGGATCTTACAAGCTAGTTTTAGAAGGCTTGATTTAAAAAAAAAAATGCTTCCTGGCGGTTAAGGCTCAAGTTAACCAGGGCTATACAAATCAGCTGTGAAGTACTTTGTGTTACTTTATGAAAAATATCTAGGCTAAGATTGCGGTAATTCAGAAAATCACACATGATGTTTTTCAGTTTTAACAACAAGGGTTAAAATCTCTAGAAAGGCAAATCTCACCACTTTACCCCTCCACCCTAGGCTAGCCTCCTATTTTCAATCCCTCCCAAGATCACAAAAATATCCGTAACTACAGATATACAGATATTCTGTCATAAGACCATCCACAACCAGTGACATAGACTCTTCCATTCCACTCTCCTTTGAAAGCGATGAAATGTAAAAACTGAATGGCTCACAAGTTTTAAACATTGCAAGTATTCAGACAGATGTTGATCAAGACACATCACCTTTGACATAAATAACTTGCTGTAAACAGACTTAGGAATAACTATGATATAGATAGTCCTTTCATCAGAATTCACTGCACGTCTGTCAACACTGCAGAAATCCGTTTTCTTCATTTAAAAAAAAAGTATAAAAATATGGGACAGGAAATATCTTTGAAAGACCATTTCCATCTTGTAAACATGGACCATGCTTTGCTTATTCAATTTTATATCCCAGAATGTAGCACTGTGCACACACATTGATGAATGGAAGAGTAGGAAATCAAGTGAATTCTTTTAATATTCACTGAACAACTGTTATTTGCCAGCTACTATGTCAAGGGAAATGGAGAAGAGAAAGACAATAAGTCACAATTTTAGCTCTGCCACAGAGAATGAAGGCACAGCCCTAATCACATTAAGTATTACTATTATTGTTTTGAATAATAATGTCACTATAAATTGATAATTAGTGAAGCTGAATGATGGATACATGGGGATCCATAATACCATTTTCTACGTTTATATATAAGTTTAACAATTTCGATAGTAAAAACCTCAGAATAACAAGATTGCAGACTGTTCACGAGCACTCGGAGACTACCAGTGCGTCCGGGACTCCAGTTTCTTTGCGTACTAGTCATACTGTGTCATCATTCCTATAAGATGACAGTGTGGGCGCAGTGTTCTTCTGCCAATAATGTGGTCATGTTTGTATTCAGCCTTCCAAATTCCTGACTGGAACCCCTTGGGATAGAGGGTCCACATTTCTAAGAAGGTAGATCGTGTCAGGGATACAATCTGTACAACCGATGCAAAAACTGATCAAAGGAAGACTGAAGTCATAACTCCTACTCATGCACATTTCTGAGACAGACCAAACAAAATCTGAAGGGAAATTGCTTTTGAGATGTCACAGGTGATGCCACGCCAATGGATAAACACTGCATCGCTTCAAGTGAAGAGCTAGTGCCAAAACACATGGCCTCGTACAATATTTGCTTCTATTTTTTTGTACTTCCATGTAGAAATGTCTTTTTTTGTGACATTAAAGACATCATGGTTAAGGTGTAGGAAATAAATGACTCACTTAAGAGTAAATACTAATCCTAAGGATATGCATAGAAAATATTCATCTTCTCTAAAAAACAAAGAAATGTAAATTAAATGCAATGGTGAGGCACTGTTTCACATTATGATAGCACTATTTTATTTAAAGATCACCAATGAACTATCACCAATACAAGCAAATCTGTGGTGAACCTGGCACACACATTTTGTTATCAATGGGTATCACCCTTTTACAAAGCAATTTGGCAAGAGCCATCCAGATATTCGCATCTTTTGACTCAAGTAATTCACTTCAAGGAACCTAAACTAAGAAAATAATTCATCCAGGGCGCCTGGGTGGCTCAGTCGTCAAGCGTCTGCCTTCGGCTCAGGTCATGATCCCGGGGTCCTGGGATCGAGTCCCACATCGGGCTCCCTGCTCGACAGGAAGCCTGCTTCTCCCTCTCCCACTCCCCCTGCTTGTGTTCCTGCTCTCGCTATCTCTCTCTCTCTGTCAAATAAATAAATAAAATCTTTAAAAAA